TCGTCAATCGGAGTTTTCCGTGTTGATCGCTCGTCACGGGTGACATTGCTGTGATCGCCCAATTCATCCTCGTCGGACCACCTTAAGCCAATTGCGTTGGCCGGCAGCTCCGCCTTACCATGCCACTCATTCTCGACTGCTTTCGCCTCGCTTCTAGCCGATCGGCACCACCACAGTGACGTCATCTTCTTGAATGGGCCGTAGAAGCTCGCCATGAACCCACCTCACCGTGGCGGGGACGATTTCAGTGCGTCTCTCCGTCGCACCAAGCACATCATCGCGATCACGGTGAGCTATTTGGCGTGTTGCTCACTCTTCCTTTGACTCTCTGCGCAGTAGCCCTAGTTACATCGACCGCCGTCGGGTCCGAGCCGCCATGGCCGGCGTTGAGTGCCATCCGGTGTGCTCTTTTCTGTTCTGAGGCTTGGGATAGATGCGCGACTTGGTGTAGATCATGTAGGAGCAGCCCGTCTCACCGAAGAGTCACCACCGGCGTGTTTTCTTTGGCTGGAGCTGGGCGCGCGCCGTGTCTTGTTCCTTTGTCATTGTGGCAGCTGGGTCATTCACAAGAAGGTGAGGAAGAAGAATAGTGAGCTTTGGTTATTTTACGATTTTGAATAGTGCAGACAATTTTGCAATTTTGTAGGAATTTATTTACACATCCAAAAATTCTAAAAAATTTTGTGTAGCTTCTGTACATGTTCTAGTATGATTTAAAAATTTGAAATTTGAAATTTGGATAAATTTTGAATATTCAAATATTCAGTCCATTAATTGAAAAATGCAATTTCCATGATTTTTGTAGGTCTTTGTATAATTCCAAAAATTATGAAATTTGTTTTGGTACACTAATTTGTCATAAGGAAGCTTACATAAAATTTTCAGGTCATTTGGAACAAGTTTATTTTTGGGCTTAATTCCAAATTAATTCAAAAATAGATAAAAGCAAACCCTAAGTGTTTGATTAGTGTTGGATCTTGTTTTGGTCATGTTTTGTGACTAGTAGGGTTTCAAGATCCATTTGGTCAAGTCACATGTGTGGTTCATAATGGTAGGATTGCAAGTTGGTTTTGTTGGCTTGCAATTTGCATCAGTGAAATAAAATCATTTATGGTGTTTTACATTTCATGTACCGTGAAAGCATCATGTTTACATTATCATCATGTTAAAGCATATGTTATCATTTCGTGTAGAACCCGAGAACTTAAAACGATCCTAGTTGAGCAAGTTCGGAAGAATCCCGGTTGTCATAGGATTCGATAATCGTGGTCTTGATCCAGGACACGAGATAAATCAACGAAAGGCAAGCCCGGTTTATGCATTAAGCCATCACCTTGTTACTTTGAAAAGTTTATCACCTATGTTACTTATCGCATTAAGTTGATTACTTCAAATTTTACCTACTTGATGCATTACCTACTTTGTTACTTGTTTACCATCCTTGAAGATGTTTTCATTTATAAAGGCGTAGTGTGCTTAGTATGCTTTATGGTAGGCTTTCAAAGTAAAAATTTCGATACAATCAAAGATGGCATCTTGGCCAAAGAAAGAAAGAATGTAGAATGAAATAGAGACTAGTTGGGTGACTTATCTTGAATGATGGGTAATGTTGCCGACTATGTCGCTTAAAGGCCACTCATTGTGGATCTTACGAGCGAGACACTTTGTAGTATTGGTCACATACTCCGGTAAGCCTACTTGGCTAATCCGATGCTAAGACGAATGCCTGCGCCTTTGGGAGTGGAGAGATGGCGGGAGAAGCGTGTACCCTCGTGGCTGGAATGTGGCGGATTTGAGGTGTCTTTGTGCTCTCGGGTGGCGTGGAGACGGCTTAGTATAGGAGGATCCCGTAGCGAGGTTGATATATGCAAGATTAAGTTCTACATATGTCGTGTGATAAGGAATCCCAGTGGGACTTGAATCAATTGAATTGCGGTGCTTCAGCGGATATGGAGACTCGATTCATTACTGAAGCAATGCAAGATCTTGGTGAATTACTAAAATATGAGAAAAAGAATGGAATGAGAAGGAATGGAATATGGGAAATGTATATTTAGTTGAGATAATGAACTAAAAGAACTTAGTGGTAAACTTGAAAATAGAATGAAGAATAGTAAGCTTTTGGCAAAGAACTTTTGAATCTTGCTACATCCTTACCTTGCCCCAAATCCTGCATCTCGAAAAGTCTTACACCCCGTTACGTCAAAGTTAGTCTTGTTGAGTACTTTTGTACTACTGGGTTTGTTAACCCTTGTTGCGGGTGAGTCGCATGCGTGAGCTTGTTTTGGTCCCTCTTTATGTATACGTGTTCAAGTCAATGACGATGAGGAGTGATGAATGGCCTTTGGACAAGGCACTAGTTTGTATGATGAATAAAGTTAATGTAATATTATCCCGCTACTATGGTCGTATGACACTTATGGTATTGTAAGTTTGAAAACAACTGGTTTGTAATAATACTATCTTAAGACTTCCGCTATCTTTTACTCTGGTATATATTTGAATAAACTGTTGTAATCTACAATGACTGTGATTGGGATCCTGTTTGAAAAGAGAAACGTGGATGATTCGGGTTTTCCCGAGGACACCCGACAGACCTGTTGAGTTGTTGGGAACTCGTGTACGCTATCCGAGGTCTGTTAAGACAACGATAGGTGCATGTGGGCCCAATTCCTTAGGAGGTTCTGCCACACTGCTTGGGAGGGGTCATCCTGTTACAAAATTGATAAACAAATGGTTAGAGTATTCAAATTAACAATATTCAAATTAACATTACGTAGCATTGTAAAATTTGAACTACTTGTTATGCAATAGGAACACAATATGAAAGCACATGTATATATTCAAAGTAACATTAACAAACATATTAAATAACTTTACTAGGAAAATAAGCAACTTCTATTTATGGACCTGCTGCCCTCGTCTTCTATGTCTGTGGGCGTCCGTGGTGTGGCGGGCTGCCGCCGTGCGTGGCGTGGTGCCGGGAGGGCGCAGGCGACGAGGGGGCACGCCGGCGTCTAAGCGATGATGGTGGTGGCCGACGCCGTGGCGCTGGCCGGCGTTTGTGGGCGCAGCCATGGCGCGCGCTAGCGAATGGGGCGCCAAAGAATAGGGCGGCAGCATGGGTTCTTGATGCCCTAGCGGTGATCTGCTCGCTTTGGGGCGGAGACCACGCGTGCAAATAGCAGGGCGGCGGCGTGGCTCCCTTTTGTGGCCGCCGGCGAACTCGTGAAGGAGCCCGACGACGCCATCTTAGTTCTTAAGGTATGTGAAAAGCGTCTTACTAATCTTATGATCGGGGGTTGTTACCGGATTTGGGTAGTTTGCATTCTTAGGGTTCGGATTTGGGCAAAAACTGGGGCTTAGTGTTGAAGTTGATTCGACTCCCCTCCTTCTCGGTGCTTAAGCGAAACCCTATATTCTGATTTGGCTTAAAGAACTTTGAATTGGACAAATCCGAGGCTATTTAGATCTTAACCAAACACTAATTAGGTCTTAGGGTTCAAGAATTAGGCCAAGCGGCTTCTCGGATACCAATTGTTAGAACTTACACTTAGACAAGATCTTAATTAATCTAATTACAGGAACGCCTAAACCAAAATTAGCACTTAATTAGGACTTTTATCAATCTTACTCGCTCGAAGATACACCTAGGGCCGTGATGACCTTCACCTGCTGGATGCAGGCACACTGTCGTCAGATGTAGAGTCGCGGTATGGTTCGGGCGTCGTCGTCGTGGTGGCGTGCGGGCGCGGCGGGCGTAGCGGGTGAGCGGCAGCCGTGGTGCGTCGGTGTTCGTGGCGCGGCCGGCGTGTGCGGGCCGGTGGGAGTGCCGCGCCAACATGCGTGGCGTGGCGTGGCCGGCGCGGCGTCTTGCCGCATGGCGCAAGCAGCGCGGCATGTAGGTGACGAGAGGGAGGGCGGCTCATGGGCGATATTTACAGGGACCGCCTGGCCGTGAGGGATGGCGGCGGCCGCCGCCCGATTCAAGATCGGTGACGCGACAGACCCTACCACGTCACCGGTCAGCGGCTCGGTCGTCACCACGTCATCCCTCTCGCCGCGCCACCATGCATGGCGCGGCACAGGCGTTTCGCCGCGCCAGGGAAATAGGGGCAACCAAAAGTGTTAGTTTTGAAAAAAAAAATATTTAAAACAGTGTTAGATTTAATATTTGTTTACAAAAAGTGTTAAAAAAATCTCGCCAGGTAGATGATTACTTTAGAGTTTTTTTAGTTGTAAAGAAGAGATTATAGGAGCATATTATTGGCAAACGACAGAGAAACATAATAAATCCTCTCCCAAATTGTTTTTAGGATTGAGTAATCGTAGATTTGACAAATAGTCTTTTAAGAACTGTTAGAAATGCGAACATATTTTCTTAGATTCGCCGCTGGAGTGAATAGGTGAAACCTACGAGTTAAAACTACTTCGCACAGCTATCAGTGTTAAGCCGGCTAAAGCCGGTTTTGGTAAAGCAAAAGCAAATTAGAAATATGAACTACCCCCTAATGAGCTGTATCAACACCGGCATTGCTTTTTTTTTTTTTTTGAGTCCCAGCCTAGGGACGCCATCTTTAATCATGGGCCAGACATGCTTTGAGCTTCCATCGTAAGAATATTCCACATGGTGAGAACCATATGGTCCCGTTCTCCAAAGAAAATGCCCAAAACGATACATATAACAGAGAGCCAGCACACATATGGTTAAACTAATTCATATCCCCACAATATGAAATAAGCACGTGAAAATACCACCTCTCAAGTCTAAACAGCAAACTAATTACCTTAGCTAGCTAGTCCGGTAGTGCCAAACACGTTAACCACCCAGTAGTCCAGTACAATCTGTGGCCACTAGGAAAATGATAATTTTACACGGTGGAGTACACTAAGGCAGCTTGATGCCATCTCCTCCTAAGCTTCGGTCCCACAACTGAGTTCTAGAACACGACCATCCCATTCCACCAAAAATCGCACAATTTTATCAGGGCAACACTTCGCTAGCTTGAACCATTGAGGCGATCCAAGGTCTCCGCAACATGCCTCATCGATGGCCTCCGCTCAGGATTCGCCTGAACGCATGCAAGGGCGACTTTCAGCACTGCGATCATCTCATCTTCCCGTTCAGAATCTTGGGCAAGGAAAGGGTCCAGCACATCGGCAGATGGTTTCTTGTCTTCGATGCAGAATTGGACCCATTGAACAAGAACCATTTGCATGGTTTCCAAGAGAGCAGAGGGTGATCGGCCAGTGATCATTTCAAGCAACACGACACCATAGGAGTAAACGTCCCATTTCTGCGAGGGCTTCCGTGTCTTCAGCGCTTCCAGAGCTTGGTAGCATGACCCTTTGCTCGTGAGAGGGCTCACTGAGGCATCTGATTGCTGGCTCTGTTCTTTTCTAAACCAACTCGGTCTGATTGCACAAATGGTGATGCTCCTGCAACGTTTGCAAGTCGCCCAAGGCTGAAATCTGAAATGAACGGCTCCATATTTGTTCCAAGGAGGACATTGTTTGGCCTCAAGTCACCATGGACATACTCTTTGGGGCTGAATTCATGCAGGAAAGACATCCCCTTGGCAACTCCTTTCATGATCTTTACTCAGGCTTCCCATGGCAACGGGGTGAATGTCATCATCCCAGGTTTACCTGTAAGCCATAGCAATTTGTCAGAGTAAGCAATCAGCCAACACCACTAGCTGGACACATGTCCTACTACAAATTCAGAGTATACTCCAGTAATCTTTATTCCAATCCAATCGGTAATAAAAACTCCAATTTCTGAATAAAGACAATTATACAGGCCACGTCCTTCAGAAACCCAATCTTCGACAAACACGCATACCTAACTGTACAAAACTTATATAATGAATGGTTAATAGAATCACAGAGAAATTAGTTTGGACCGAATTCCTGAATCTCTACATACAAATCACAAGAAACAAAACAATAAAAGGGTTACGCACAATAATACCATGGGCGTACCCAAGTTTCCATCCTACTGTAGCTATCACAATAAATTCAGCAATCCGGAATTACCAGGATCCTGATCCACACAAGTAGGATGTGAAAATTGGTAGTAATTACTTGTTCATGAAACAACAGAACCAAATGGAAAAGTACATAGCAAAGGAATCACTGCAGAGAGGCTGCCATTAGGAATGTAATCATATATCAGCAGTTTCTCATCAAAAGACCAGTAATAAGCCCTCAAGGTAACAATGTTGGGATGCCGGACCTTGCCAATCGCCTCAACCTCAGTCTGAAACTCCTTAAACCTCTGCAATCCCCCCTCCCCAAGCCGCCTAACTGCCATCGTGAGCCCGTCCTCAAGAACCACCTTATAAATGATTCCAATCCCACTCTTCCCCAGCACAAAAGCTGATGCCTTGAGCAGCTCATCCAGATCAAACCTCACATGCTGGTCCAATGCCACAAGATCGTACTGCTCCGTGTGCTCGGACGGAGTCTCGGACTCATCCCTGCTGAAACATCCACAATCCTTGCCACACCTGGACCCTTTAGAACCAGCAGCCGCACCGTGCCCCTTGCTCCTGTCCTTGGTTGAAACCGCCCTCCAGTAGCAGTAGAAGAACACCAGTGCAATGATCAAAATCCCCACAACATCACTGAGCACGATGGCCACAATGGCAACCTTCCCCAGCCCCTTGTTCTTCCCCTTGCCACCACCGGCTGCCTCGGGTGCCGACGAGTCCCCTCCCTCATTGGGCAGGGAAGGGTTGGACGACAGCGCGCAGGGGTTCTTAAGCGGCGGCCCGCAGAGGCCCGGGTTGCCGACGAGCGCCGTGGGGCCCCGGTTCTCTAGCGCCCCGTTCTGCGGGATGGGACCGGAGAGGTTGTTGTAGGTGAGATCGATGTAGACCTTCTCCGGCAGCCTGCCAAGGCTCGCCGGGATGGGGCCCGAGAAGTGGTTGTGCGAGAGGTCGACCGTGCCCTGGAGCCTGGACAGGTTCCCGATGTCCTCCGGGATGGTGCCGGAGAAGCCGTTGAAGGAGAGGTCAAGCCGTTCAAGCGCGGCGAGCTTGGCGCCGAACCCGGCGGGGAGCGGGCCCGTGAGGTTGTTCCGCGCGAGCGCGAGCGCGCGGAGCCTGCGGCATTTGAGGATCGAGGACGGGAGGGAGCCGTTGATGGCGTTGGAGGAGAGGTCGAGGATCTGGAGGTAGGTCAGGTCCCCGAGGTCCTCGGGGAGCTGGCCGTCGAGCGCGTTCCCGTAGAGGACGAGGCTCTGGAGCGCGGGCGCGCCCGCGACGAGCTCGGGTGGGACGGGCCCGAAGAGACAGTTGCTGCGGAGGTTGAGGTGGCGGAGCGAGGACGGGAGCGGGGCCCTAGGGAGCGCGGCAACGAGGCGCTTCTTAGGGAGGGAGAGCGCGACGACGCGGCGGGGCTGGGTGGAGCCGGGGTCAGGGGAGGAGCAGGCGACCCCGTTCCAGGCGCAGGAGTCCGCGGCGGTGGCGTCCCAGTTGGATAGCGCCCCCGTGGGGTCTTGCAGGACGGCCGCCTTGAACACCAGCAGCGCCTGGCCGTCCGGCGTGAGCGCGTCGGCGGCAGTGGAGACGGCGAGGCGGAGCAGAAGACGGAGCGCCATGGCGAGTTGGCGACGCGCCGCGTTGGGCAGTCTGGGACTCCGGACTCCGGGAGTGCGGAGGAAGGGATGGGGCTGGCCGCTGGTGTAGAGGTGTGGTGGGGATGGTTTGACTGATGACTGCACCCCACTCACTGGCCACTGCCAAACTCAAGCGCAAGCGGCAGTCGCTAACGAGAATCAAGACCTATTTTAAGTTTGAGTTTCGCAATGGGTGTCGAAGACAGCCTAATCGCAAGAACGGGAGGATTTCACACTCGTTTCATATGTTTTTTAGCGTGGTTTGATACCGGAATACTCCTAACAAAGTTAGGTTCAGTTTTATTCTAGTCCGCCGTGTCGTCCGGCGCGGACCTGGCGTCCTGGCCTCAAGGGCCGTGCGGCGCTGCAGGCGCAGTTTCTCTGTCGGCAGCCGCATCCCTCCCCATGTAGCAGTGAGCAGTGGCGCCGGGTGTTTGGTAGCGTTTCGTGTGGCTTGCCTCCTCTTCTACCCCACGCTGTACTAGCACTATTCAAAAGAACCGTTTTTCTCTTTCTGGCTCCTCCAATAATATAGGATGGAGTGAGAGCCCGAAGAAACCTAAACAAACGAGACCATCAATAAAAAGTTAAAATTTAAAATCGACGTATAGGAACAGTAAAAACAAATGGGTAACTAGTTTGAGGACTCCTTTTGAATGGTTGCCATGTTCTCGTATTATAGGGAAAAAAAGTAGTAGCTTTAGGTCCTAAATATTTGGATTTTTCAGAATTGGTTAGCACTAGTATAAGTTTTCTGCAAAGCTGCGCTTGCTAAAGCTATGGCGATAGCATAACCTAGTGGAGTTTTAGGAACTGTTTGCTTGAGCTTTCTACGAATTTTTGGACCTCAATTTTTGAATCTTTTAATAACCAAAAAGCCCGTGGAAGGCAAAAGCCAGAAGCTCATGGGAATGAGTTTTTGGGCTTTTGGTTTATAAGAGTTGTTTGACTTTTGGAAAGTCCAAAAGCTAGTAGTCTAAAAGTGACAAAAACTCAAAAACATGAATTTTTTTACTAAGTTCAACATTTTTTTGTGAAAGTGAACTGATTCATGTAAACACTTTGGACAATTTCTATGAATTCCGGTGTTTCAAATGGACTCTAAGAGCTAGTGCAGGGCATGGAAAATGAAACAAGATTAAGTTGTAAGTATTTTTCTAAAAATTATAAAATAAAAGAATGTCCTTAGTAATTCTCTTATCTGTATTCACGTTAACTTGTCCAAACAATAATTCCCTCCCTCTTGATGGAAAACATGCCGAGTCGAGACATATATGGTCATTTGAAAAAAAAAAAAAACTTGTGCGAGCAACAAAGGGGATTCGCAAACCAAGTACATGCACCTTTGCCAAATGCCACAATCAGTTGTTGGTAGCTGCAGCTCCAGACGCATTGCGTAGAATCTATTTCTAACCAGAGTTAAATGCATGAGGGTCCTGAACTTGTTGAGGGGTGTCACTTAGGTCCATAAACTTGAAAAATGTATTTCTGGGACACTGAACTTGATAAGTGTTGCCATAGGTCCATTTGAGACACATGGACAATTTATCCAACGTGGCATTGCCACTGTGGCGCTGACGATGTCTAGCACTTTGCATTTAACCCCTTATCTTTTTTATTTCTTTTTTCTCTCCCTCTTCTTTCTTCTCTATAAGACTCGAAACCTGCCGATGCAATTGGCAGTCACTGCCGTAGCCATTCACCGTCATAGCCATTCTCTATGAGCACCTCGGGGTCACGGCAGATCCTGGCCATCGCCTCCGCGGGCAGCATCACCACCACGTCCCGTGCCTTGCCGCCCTCGACCGCGGGCAGGACGAGCACCAGCCCCTCGCCGGCGGCCCTGCCCACGCGGCATCGGCGTGCGCGTTGGGGGCACCCCGGCCTCGCACTCCGCACCGTATATGAGCACGTGGTCCAGCGCCACGCACGTCAGCACGCCCTCCTGCTGCTGCTGCCGCGCGTGGAGCCACTCCAGGGCACGCCACAGCTTGTCCTTCGGCACGCCGGCGACGTGGTGGGCAGCCTGGACACGAGGTCGGCGCGCGCGCGTGTGAAGTGGGAGCTACCGTAGTAGCCCAACGGCAGCGGCATGTACATCCGCTTGCGGAAGTCTAGCGCCAGCGTGACAACCCGCTCCCTGTCGGCGGCGCCGGTGATCCAGAGCCAGAAGAGCGCGGCGAGCGCCGCGAACGGGGTGAATAGATCCTTCCTCCTCTTCCAACATACCGCCGTCCTCTACCGGCCCGCGATCGCGCGCGCAGTACCACCTGCGTGCTTCTTCTAGCCCCATCGTCGCCGTAAATGGTCGGGAGGCGGCGGCGGAGAACACGAGGGTGGCCGCGGAGTCTAAGCGTGGTCGCGCGCCGCCGTCGTCGACGGCGGCGGACGTCGCAGCGCGGAGCAGCTCCTCCTCGTGCCGCATCGGCGCCACGATAGCCGTCCACCGTCGCGCTTCGGAGGTGCGGTGCAGCGTCGCGGCGGCCGGCCGGACGCCGACGACGGAGCGCCCGACGAGCGTCCCCACTCCGCCCGTATTTTCCCGATTCTACGCGTTCATGTTCCTCCTCGCCGGTGGTGTTGCTCGGCTCGCTCCACGGCTCATGGTGCGGTTCGCGCCGCCTACGTGGCGCCGCCGCCGCTCCGGCGCCTCGCCAGCGCCTCGCCCCGCTCTTCCTCGCCCCGAGCAAACAACGCGCCGCGCAAGCAAGCACGCACCGTGGAGGCCGGGAAGTGGAATATGGCGGCGGCATTGATACTGGTAGGGGAGGCGGCCCTAGCCTTCTCGGCGAGTAGAGGCAGGGGAGGGGGCGTCGAGGTCGGGGAGACCGCCAATGCCGGCACGTGGAGGAAGGATATAATAGAAATATATATCAAACATTTATCATGTGTCTTGTATGTTTGTGTGTGTTCACGTATACACATCGGCTCGTCTTTCATCAGGAGATCCCCTCAGGCATGCGTCATGGCCTTCAGTCGTTGCTACTATCACTATTCTGCCACGTCACGGTGGAGATCGTGGGAGTGGCTGGTTGTAGGCGGCCGCAACCCACACTAGGGTTGGTGGAACAGTGAGGCCAGTCCTCTCTTCCTGTTCTACGTACGTAGGACCTTGACAAGGCCGAGCATGAAACACCAGTGAGGCCGAGCATGAAACAGTGTGCCTCGCTGAGTGTGGCCGTGCGTGGGCACCTGCGTCATGAGCACTGTGTTGGTCGTTACTGCGTCATGGGGCCTCGCAAGGTACGAGCATATTTAGGTCTAAGCAAAACACTTTGACTCAAAAGTCAGAGATCAGGACGTCTTTTGTACCTGGACTTGACGAAATGCGGGGGCAGATTGCCACATGCACATGTCCACTCAGCGAGCTTCCTCTGGCTGAGCATTGGGCCCGACGTCCTGAGTTTGGAGCCGATTGACTACTCCGTAGGCCCCGACTTCAGAGCCACGGGCGTCCGTCAAGCTTGGAAAGAGCCCCCGAGCCCATCCACTCAATCATGGGCCATCTGATGCGAACTTGGTGATGGCTATAGCCAAGCTTTCTTGGTTGATTGGGGTACTCAGGTTTAGATAGAAAATTTTGGGACGAAGACTTTCGTATGTATTTGGTAATTAGTGTCTAATTATGGACTAATTATGGAAAGTTTCTATTTTCACCCCTGTGCAATTAGTTTTTTTTCGCTCACATTTAGTACTCCATGCATGTGCCGCAAAATTCGATGTGACACTTTATCGCGCAAAAATTTTGGGTTTTGGGGAGAACTAAGCGGTGCCTCGGTAGAGGCGGAGTATGTTGGAAGAGGAGAAGGATCTATTAGACTTCGCGGCACTTGCGCGATCTTACAACTCTAGATCACCGGGCGCCGCCCTTGGGGAGCGGGTTGTCACGGCGGCGCTAGACTTCCGCAGCGGATGTACACGCTGCTGCCATTGGGCTACTACGGCAGCTCCCACTTCACACGCGCGCGCGCCGACCTCGTGTCGTCGCCCGCCACGTCATTTGGCGTCTTCGAAGGACAAGCTGTGGCGTGCCCTGGAGTGGCTCCACGCGCGGCAGCAGCAGCAGGAGGGTGTGCTGACGTGCGTGGCGCTGGACCACGTGCTCATATACGGTGCGGAGTTCGAGGCCGGGGTGCCCCCAACGCGCACGTCGATGCCGCGTGGGCAGGGCCGCCGGCGAGGGGCTGGTGCTCGTCCTGCCCGCGGTCGAGGGCGGCAAGGCACGGGACGTGGTGGTGATGCTGCCCGCGGAGGCGACGGCCAGGATCTGCCGTGACCCCGAGGTGCTCACAGTGAATGGCTATGACGGTGAATGGCTACGGCAGTGACTGCCAATTGCATCGGCAGGTCGAGTCTCACAGAGAAGAAAGAAGAGGGAGAGAAAAAAGAAATAAAAAAGATAAGGGGTTAAATGCAAAGTGCTAGACATCGTCAGCGCCACAGTGGCAATGCCATGTTGGATAAATTGCCCATGTGTCTGATATGAACCTATGGTGTAGCACTTATCAAGTTCAGTGTCTTAGAAATGTATTTTTCAAGTTCATGGACCTAAGTAACACCTCTTGACAAGTTCAGAAACCCCTCGTTCATTTAACTCTTCTAACAAAAACCTGTATGCGCAAGTTTCATGGGAAACTATTTTGGCCCTGTACAACTTTGGTGGGAAAATGCCGGTCTAGGTTGGCGCCTGGCCGTTGTCCAGGCATGCACGAAATATCAAAAGCAAGCAGGCAAATCCAGCCGTACAGCTTGCGCGCGGGTACTAGTCTAGCGTTGAGACTCGGAGTACAGGTGTATAGGTCTTAGTCCATGCATATATGTGTTTGTGTTTGGCACGTTAAAATATTTCTGGTGTAGCAGTGTACTGGGGTTTTTTAGATTCTAAATTTTTTTACTCTCTCTTAATCATATCAAATCTTTGATATATGTATGGAGTATTAAATATAGATAAAAAAATAACTAATTATACAGTTTGATTGTAA